AATAAGGGGAAAAAAACAAGAAAATATGCAGTAAAATACACAGACTGCTCACCATTGAAGAAAAAAAAAATCATAAAACACTAAGCTACTGGGGCTGGAGATATAGCTCAGTTGGTAGAGTGCTTGCCTAGCATGCCCAGGCCCTCACTTCAATCCCCAGCACCAAAACAAACAAACAAACACTGCTGACAAGAAGTGGAATCATTTGTTTAGTTTCTTAACTCCCAAATATCCATTCTCACACTTATGAAAAACTGGTTTTGTTTTTTTTTTTTTTTTTTTTTTTTTTTTTTTTTAAGATCTCGGCTGACACAACATCTTTGTTGGTATGTGGTGCTGAGGATCGAANCACAACATCTTTGTTGGTATGTGGTGCTGAGGATCGAACCTGGGCCGCACGCATGCCAGGCGAGCGCGCTACCGCTGAGCCACATCCCCAGCCCCGAAAAACTGGTTTTGAAGATTGAGACACAGTAGAAACTGAAAAAGAATTCACTATGTACCAGTAACTTGTTACAAGCAATAAAGTTAGGAAAAGCAACCAATCTGAACACAGTGGTTGTACTTGCAGGGTGGTGGTGGAGGTGGTGGAGATGATAGTAGCAGTAGCAGTAGTAGTAGTAGTAGTAGTAGTAGTAGTAAGAGTAGTAGTAAGAGTAATAATAATAATAATATAATAATAATAATGTTTTAAAATAGTAGAAAAGTAAAGGTAGTTATCCAGGTTTTGGTTATTAAGGCTTATAACTGCTCAAAACGGAATACTAGATGTTCAACATTCAAAGTGGTAACTCCACTAAATAATATTAATGGGAGCTGATTGGTGGTACATGCCTATAAACCCAGGAGGCTGAGACAGAAGATTCACAAATTTGAGGCCAGCCTCAGCAACTTGGTGAGAAAGTGTCTCAAAATAAAAAATAAAAAGAGCTAGCAATGTAGCCACTGGCAGAGCACCCCTGGTTCAATATCCAGTAAAACACACACACACACACACACACACACACACACACACACAAATATGAATGGATAAATAAAATGTGATATAAACCCAGGAATGGTGGTGCACACCTGTAATTCCGGAAAGTCAGAAAGTTAAGGCAGGGGGATCATAAGCTCAAGGCCAGCCTCAGCAACTTAGCAAGGCCCTTAACAACTTGGCAAGACCCTGTCTCAGAATAAAGAATAAAAAATAAAAAAGGGTTGGGGATGTGGCTCAGTGGTTAAGCACCCCCGTATTCAATCCCCAATACCAAAAATAGATAGATAGATGATAGATAGATAGATAGATAGATAGATAGATAGATAGATAAAGTAAGTAAGGTATACGTACACAATGAAGTTTTACCCAGCCATAAGAAAGAATGAAATATGTCACTTGCTGGAATAGCTGATACTGGAAAACACCATGCTAAGTGAAATAAGTCAGACTCAGAAAATCAAGTGTTGAATGTTTTCTCTCATCTGAGGAAGCTAGAGGAAAAAAAGGAATCTCATGAAAATAGAAGGGAGACCAGTAGAAGAGAGGAAAGAGATTCAGACAGAGGAAGGAGAGAAAGGGCAATGGTAGGGAATGAAAATTAAGCTATGTACATGTAACTGAATCCCACTTTTATGTATAATTATAATGCACCAATTTAAAAAAAATGGATTAGAGGAAGAGGATCAAAGGGAAGGAAAGGAAAGGAGAGGTATTAAGGAATAAAATCCACCAAATTATGTTATATACACACATAAACATATCACAAAGAACCCCATTTTATGTATGATTTAAATGTGCCAATTGAAAAACAGAGGGAGACCTGTAGAACAGAGGAAGAGGATCAGGAGGAACGAGGAAGAGACATACAGAAAATGAGACTGATCAAATTATGTGTGTATATGAATAAGTCACAATGAATCCCACTATGTATAATAATGATGCACCAATAAAAACCATAAAAATGCAAAAGTAAATAATCAGAGTCTTGAATCAGGATGTGGAGCTCAGTGGTAGAATGATTACCTAGGATGCTCAAGGCTCTGGGTTCAAGATCAGCCCACAAAATAATAATAAAAGAGTCATAATATCTTAGGAATTTGCCTGACCTTAATGAAATCATAGGGTAAAAATGTGACAATTCAGCTTTTCTATGTCATTCCTCTGCCCACACGACTGTTTTGCATGCAAATGTAGAGAAACATTCTTTACCACTTTTTTTTTTTTTTTTCCTGGTACTGAGAATTGAACCCTTTAGCACTAAGCTTTATTTCCAGCCCTTTTTGGTTTGTTTTTGTTGTCGTTTTTGTTTTCGTTTTGTTTTGAGATGGGGTCTCCCTAAATTGCTGAGGTTGGTCTCCAACTTGCAGTCACTGTGCCCAGCACCTTCACCAAATTTGTGTGAAGACTTATATACATTTAATTTTAAGTTATACTTAAACTTCATTTAAAACAAGAAGTAAAGTCCCACATGGTGGCGAATGCCTGTAATCCCAGCTACTTGGGAGGTTAAAGCAGGATGATCACAAATTCGAAGACAACCTTCAAAACTTAGAGGGGCCCAAAGCAATTTAGGAAGATCCTGTCTCAAAATTTAAAATAAAGGGTCTGGGATTGTAGCTCAGTGGTAGAGCACTTACTTAGCATGTGTGAGGCCCTGGGTTTGATCCTCAGCACCACATAAAATTAATAAATAAAATAAAGGTATTGTTTCCATCTACAACTAAACATATTTTTTAAAAAATTAAAATAAAAAGGGTTGAAGATGTGGCTCAATGGTACAGTGCCCCCGGGTTCAATCCTTAGCACGCACGCACACACACACACACACACACACAAAAAAAAAAAAAAAGGAAGAGAGAAGTAATGCTACAAGAGGACCTATAAAGTACAGCATTTCACAGGCTGAGGTTGTGGCTCAATTCTCAGCACCATGTAAAAATAAAGGTATTGCATACAATCTACAACTAAAAAAAAAAAATGTTAAAAAAAAAGTACAGCATTTTAGCTGACTCAACTTTCACACATCAAACTTAGCTTTATTAAATATTTATTAAAACTAAGCCTCTTTCTAAATTTCTTTCTTTCTTTCTTTTTTTTTTTTTTTTTGGTACCAGGGATTGAACTCAGGGGCTCCCAACCACTGAGCCACATCCCCCAGCCCTACTTCCTATTTTATTTAGAGACAGAGTCTCACTGAGTTGCTCAGGGCCTTTGGTTTGCTGAGGCTGGCTTTGAACTTGTTATCCTCTGCCTCAGCCTCTGGAGCCGCCGGGATTATAGGCATGAGCCACCACGCCTAGCTTTTCTAAATTTCTAATAAAGTAATTTTGTTAAAATTAGCTGGACAAGCAGATTCATAAAAATCCCTCACAAATATTTGAGACAAAGTAATAAAAGTGAATGTTACTCTATCAAACTGACATGCTAGTATTATACTTTGAAGTTTTTTTAATGTTTGATTAATGTTTTGCATCCTGCCTGGTACTGTATGTAGCACATACCTCTAATTCCAGCGACTCCCAGAGATCTGTGAGGCGGAGACAAGAGAATCAAACATTTGAGGCCAGGGTCTGGGGTTGTGGCTCCGCAGAAGAGCGCTTGCTTAGCACTGGGTTCGATTCTCAACCACATATAAACAAATAAATAAATAAAGGTCCACCAATAAGTAATAAAAATATTAAAAAAAATTCGAGGCCGACGTGGGCAATTTAGCAAGACTCTGTTTTTTATAAATAAAAAGAGCTGGAGATGTGCGTCAGTGATAGAGCACCCCGGGGTTCAATCGCAGTTCAATTAAAAAGAAAAAAAAAACAGAAAAATTGCAGCCTTACAATTCTATCCACTATTTCATAATTTAAAGGCCTCATAATAAGGTAATAGTTCAGAAATAGTTTAGCTTCCCTCTATCATTTTTCATGAGCTGATTCAAATATTCAGCCATTAACCCAATTTTGGTAAACCTGGCTCTGGAAGTAGTTCTGCTTATGAATATGAAGTCCTGAATCCTATGAACTTCTCTGACTCATCAAATCATAGAGTAAAAATGTGATAATCCATTTTTTTCAATGCTACTCCTCTGCCTAAACATCCCCCTTTCATCCCGGAAATGACCAACACCTCTCAGAAGATGTTCAACAAGAGCTTAAAGTTGACCTACACTTCCTCCTCCTAATCCTACACCTTGCCATATAAAAGCTTTTACCTTTTACTAATGAGCACTTCCGGTCACTGCCAGAGAAGTGCGGGTACCCATCTATCAAGGAATGCGAAACGCTCAGATTTTAAGTATTAATATGTTGCTAAAAAAAAATTCTGTTTTCAATTTAAATCTCATGTTGATTCCATCTCTGGCAGTGATTTGTGCAAATCTGCCAGAGTCGCTGCTTCACAAACATGGATTTTCCAGAGAGGTTTCTTCATTCCATCCCACAAGTTATCTGGAGCCTGCTAAGTATCGCTTATTTTTAACTTTCTGTTAGGTTTAAGAATAAACCGAGTGTTTAAAAAAATTCATAACGTGCACACATGCCATCTCCAGATTTAACTAATCGTCTCTATTAATGAAAACTCCAAGCATTAACACACGAAAATTAGACAATCCTTTTGGAGGGGAGGAGGTACTGAGTAGGGCGCCAGTCTGTTTAAATATCTCAACTTCAACTCCATGGAAACAAGAGGGAATTCCCACTAGTAAAACAGCAAATAATAAGTGAAAGCACCATTTATTTTCAACAAATCTTTTTTAAAGTTGCAGATTAAATTCGATTTCTAATTTTTGTCTTATAAAGCACATAAAGACTGGGTCAAAAGGCAAACGGCGTGGGGTTCTCGGAGGTGGGAGCAGCGCCGGGCTCACCCCCGGCTGGAGGGGAAGGAGGGAAATGAGTGAAGGGGGTGCGAGCCCGCGGCAAAGAAGCGGGAGGCGGAGACCGACCCTCAAGCAGCTCGGGCCAGGCCGCGCCCGGAGCCCCCGAGCCCGCCACCCAGTCGCGGCCCCCAGACCCGAGGTGGCCCGTACCTGTCCGACCGGCCGGGACGCGCCGCGGGGCCCGCGCTGCCCGCCCCTCTCCCGACACCCCGTCCGCCGTCCGCGAGCCAGGAAGCCGCTGCGGCCTGCGGCTTCCAGCCACCGCCGCCCGCTCCTTCCTCCAGGGACACTGCGAGCTGGCTGAAGGCGTAGAGCAGCGAGCAGAAGCCGCAGGCCAGACACAGCACCACGACGCGCAGGTAGCGCCGCATCGCCCCGGTCCCAGTCCCGCGCCGCGGCCGCCTCCGTCGTCGCCGCCACCGCCGCCGCGCCCGCCCGGGCGAACTGGAGTGGAGCGAGCAGCAGCGCGCAGCCGCGGGTGCAACAAGTTCCTCCTCCGCCACCGCCCCGAGCCCGCCCCCCTTCCTTTCTCCCCTGGCCTCCCCGCCCACCACCTAAGAGAGCGCGGCCGCGGCGCCCCAGCCGGCCGACAGCCGCCCGGAAGCCAGGACGCCTCCTCCGCTGCCGCGCGCCCGGCCCTGCTCCGCCCCGCGGTCCCGGAGCGGCCTGATGCGCCAGTGCGCTGGGGTCGGGCGCACGGGTGTCCGGGACCCGGGACGCGGCGGCGAGGTCTGGGCCCTCTCTGAGCCCCTGGCAGGGAGTGCGGAGGCTCTGAACAGCGCCGGAGAAAAGTATGGAGAAAGTAACAGGGCTCTAGAGGCAGTTGACCTAAATTCAAATTCTGGTTCTAACATGGTAATTTGTAACGTTGAGCAACCCAAAATTCTCTGAGCATGTTTCTTCGCCTCTCAAATGGAGATACTGTCACCATCATAGGGTGACTGTAAAGATGGAATTGTTTAACTCGTTAAAAACATTTAGAAATCTAATATTTAGAGGGCGCGTAACTAAGCCCTTTCATGTGCTGTCCTCCTTAGCAGGTCATCCTTGGCCTCTAGGTTTCTATAGGATTTGTAGAAGCCATTTCACTCAAATACCTTTCTGCCTTCTAAAGTTCATAATGCGATATATCTAACTTGCCTCCAAACGGGCTGTAATTTTACCTGACATCCTTTTGGCTTTACTTACAACTCACTATTTGCATATCCAAAACAAAATTAGTGTTCTCCCCAAAAAGCTTCTCCTTCCTTTTGCGTTTCTTCTCTCTCTTCTTCAGCTGTTTCCACCCAGTTCATTCTTTGATTTGACCGTTTATAAAGCATCTTTTCGCGCCCAGCAATGTGTGAGAACCTTGAGGTATAATGAAGCCTAGTGGTGATGTGAGTGGGAAGGTGTATACTTCGGAAATGAATGAAACATTAGACACTTTGGGATACAGACTTATAAGGGTGTGAGCACACATCCAAAGGTGTAATCAGACCTGAAAACGTAGTCAAAAACAGACTTCTTCAAAGCAAAGTTAGCTCTGGAGTTTGCGGGGAGAGGTAAAGCAAGTAATTCTAGACTAAGGGGTCAATGAAACACGCTCTTGTGTTTAGGGAACTGAAACCTATGATACCAGCAGCTAAGTGAAAACAAGAGAATAAGATGAGTGATAAGACAGCAGAAATCGAAGAGGCCCGATATTTGAGTGCCTTGCTTAGTTTACCAAGGAGTTTGAACTTAATCTACCAAACAATGGTGAATTACTGAAGAGTTTTAAAAGTAAAATAGTAACATGATCACGTTTGCATTTTAGGGAGCAGATTCTGGCTGCAGTGGAAGCTGGAACAAAGATTTGAGAGATTTGAGAAAGCAGCTCCAGCGCCAAAAAGGGAAGTTTAAATAGGCGCAAGCGCAAGTACACACACATACACACACACACACACACACACACACACACACTCTCTCTCTCTCTCTCTCTCTCTCTCTCTCTTCAAGGAGAAAAATCATGCTGTTAAATTGTTCAGATTACATCTGGGGCACTGAAAAGTTTGACTATGAAATACAGGGAAACTCAATACTACATAGAAGTAGCTATGAATTTCTACACCAAAAAGTTCTCATCCTGTGGTTATGGGAAAGTCACTATACAAATTTAAGATTCAGTTTCCTCCCCAATAAAGATTCAGTTTCTTCCTTACCTGGCAAAAAATGAAAATCAGCATGCTATCAAGATGTATAAAGAGAATAAAACGATACATTTGTTCATTCAATAAACATTTATTGAATATTTTCTTCATGCCAGACAAGGGGCTCAGATGCACAGTATTCAGAAATAAAGGAGTGTACTTCCCTCAGAGGGGAGACAAGTTGGTTAAAACAATAATAATAAATCTTTCCACTATACCTTACAATTCTTAGAGAAATGAAGATAAACTTAATGAAGTACAGAGAATAGTAATAAAAGCATTGATAAGAATGAAAAATTTATGGAGTTGAGGATATACCAAGAAATTAGAGTAAGAGTACTCAAAGAATGTTTAAAAGATGCAAACTGCAATTGTTCTCTATTCCAGTAAAGAAACTACCTTATAATCAAAAATTAAGAACAACTTTTGTACTCCCATGCACCCAGATTAAAATACTGAAATGGCACAAAGGAAGGCCAGGAAGTTTTAATTTCTGCAACAATTTATGGAAAGAGCATATTCAAAAGAATAATCATTCGTTTACTTCACATCAGAGTTCTGGACCATATCATCCTTTAGGTTCCCTTTAATCCTGCAATTATAAAAGAAATTTTGAGGAAAGGGTACATAGGGCATTCTATCTAGAAATGATCTATCTATCTAGAAATGATCTATTCACCCACATATTAGTTCATCTGTTTTTTTTTTTTTGCAGTGTAAGGAGTGAGGTGCAGGCTGGTGTCCCAGATTCTGATCATTTCCAGAAGTCACAAATTGTATGTCTGTATTCATAAAATTAATTTTAAGTATTGTGTGTATGTATTCCTAAGTCTATTTTTCATCTTTAAAACCAGTCTGTTGCTGGACTCAGTGGTACACACCTGTAATCCCACTTACTCAAGAGGCTAAGGCAGGAGGATTGAAGGTTCAAGGTCAGCCTTGGTAACTAAGATGTTTCAAAATAAAAAATAAAAAGGGGTAGGGATATAGCTCAGTGGTATAGTGCCCCTGAGTTCAATCCTCAATTACCACCACCACCACCCCCCAAAAAAGAATTAAGATCATCTCTTAATTCTCTAATCACAGGCTGGCTAGATCCAACTTTTTTATCCTTGTTGATCTTCCTTCATCCTACCAAAAAGAGAAGATTTAAGTGAAGGAAATGGAATTTAATAGTAGCAATATTTGTTGTTCAAATTAGGAAACAGATCTCCATGGTCTGGAAAATTTTCTAATTCAGGATTAAACCAAATCCCCAAAATCTTAAGTTTAAAACATTAACCTTGAATTTTTTATAGCTATTATATATTAGATATATAATGGGCATTCAGTTAAGGGTAGAGGTTCTTTTTTTTAAATGTCTTGTCTAAATCACTAGAGATTTGGGGTCCTGCTCAGCATTTTCTCATTTCTACCTTTGAATTGATTCTTAAAAATATAATAAAATAAAAAAGATATCCTATGGGAAAACCGTTGAATTCTGTACCTAGAGTAAAACTCAAAAGACTTTTTAATATAACTTCTGCTTTTGTAAATGTCTGCATCATCTAATTTAGTCCTACAACATACCCAGGAAGAGATGTTTTTTTTTTAAGGAAACAATCTCAAATTCAGAGAGGTTCCTTAACCACATGGTTAATAATGAAGATCCATAATTTAACATTTTTGAAGATCCAAGATGCATGTTGTTTTTCCATTTTACTATGTCATTTCATGATGAAGAAATAATCGCTACATCAAATTATGCCAATTAGAAGTGGAAACAGAAAGAGGATGTTATATGAAAATCTCATTGACTAGTCTTAAAGACTAAAAGGAACTTTACAATCAGAAATATGTGTCACATTAGCTAAGAGAGGTGACTCATGCCTGTAATCCCAGAAACTCTGGAGGCTGAGGCAGAAGGATTAAAAGTTCAAAGTCAGCCTCAGCAATTTAGTGAGGCCCTGTCTCAAAATAAAATAAAAAGGACTGGGGATGTTTCTCAGTGGTTAAGCACCCCTAGGTTCAATCCCCATTCCAAAAGAAAAGAAATATGCATCATGTTAGTTGCTGAGCACAAAGAATCAGAAACTCAGACTAAAATCAAAATTTTTTCTCACCTGTAGTTGGCTTATATTTCTCCATTTTCCATAGTCCAACTCCTATAGACCTTGTTGGACTGGAGGAAAAGTTGGAAAATAATGCTGTTAGTTCAAACAAGAAGTATTTCATTTTAAAAGTTTATTCAGACCAGTAAACCTGGGGAAAGAGTGGTATCGGGGGTTGGATGAAAGGGTAAAGGAATTCTCTTCATTCTCAAAACACTGAGCTATGCGCTGCAATATTAGAGAGGTGACAGAAATCAAAGGAAAGGGGACACTTTATGCTCCTGACCTGAGAAAGTAGCTGGCTTTTTCAGCTTGGGAAAGGGGGTGGGAGGGAAGCCAGGTGGAAAAGCGAACAATGAATAACCTATGGACCTTTATTTCTCCCTGATTTCTTCAGGATTCTTCCATTTCCATTTATACAATAGATCATAATAATACTCCTCTGCTGGATTGAGGATTAAACGCAGGGCCTTGCACATGCTATGCAAGTGCTCTACCTCTGGACTACATCCCAGCCCTATAATCTATTATTACTTTTCCCAAGATTTTTTTTTTTAAATTAAAATACCCAGGCGGGCACTGTGGTACATACCTGTGATCCCAACTACTAGGAATTACAAGCATCAAAAATTCTACGCCATTTTGGGCAATTTAACAAGCCCCTGTCTGAAAAAATAAAAAGAGATGGGGATGTAGCTCAGTGGATAGAGCACTTGCCTAGTATATCTAAGGCCCAGTTCAATCCCCAGTACCACCAAAAATAAAAAATAAACACCAAAGTGCAAATCCTACAAAACCTGTCACCAATCAAGGTTCATAATTACAATGTTAAGGACCAGTTAACCAAGTTTTTCTGACCAGATTCCTCAAAATTGAAGGCTCAAAATAATAAAGAATTGTGATTCATCCTTCCAAAAGTCCAGTGCTTAGCCAAAAACTGAATTCAGAATTCTTGTTATCACCTCATATTCTTTTCTATAAATTACATCACTAGGTGTTCCTGTTATATTTGGCTTATTTATAAATTTCTATATTTTAATAAAGTAAAAAAATGATTTTCTGCCTCTAATTAAAAGTGTTCCCTTAAACTTTCATCTTATTCTGTGCTAAAAACTTAATGACTTTTTTATGTTCTATTAAAGACCAAAATTACCTTTCAAGTCTGAGGTTAAGTCATTCTGTTCTGTTCTTTTGGGAATTCAGCTGACTTCCTTTTTTGGTGGGGATGGGTGTTCCAGGGATTGAACTCAGGGGCACTCAACTACTGAGTCACATTCCGGGCCCTATTTTGTATTTTATTTAGAGATAGGATCTCACTGAGTTGCTGAGGCTGGCTTTGAACACCATCCTCCCGTCTCAGCC